CCGGAGGTGCCTGCCGTCTGGCTGCTGCACGCCGGCGTCATCACCCGGGAGACCCTGGAGGCGCTGGTCCAGGGTGCGTGGTCGCCTCTTGAGGTCGCTGAGCAGCCTGCTGTGCGGGCCTGCTTGTGGGGCACAGGCTGCGTGGCCGGGGTGCTGCTGCCGCGCTCGGGCGCCAAAGTGAGCATTGCCCAGGCCATGGAGGACAGCCTCCTGCCTGCTGGCCTGGGTCAGAGACTGCTGGAGGCCCAGGTGGCATCTGGCTCTCTCATTGACCCTCTGACCAGCCAGAGACTGTCGGTGGAAGATGCAATCAAGGCCGGCCTGGTGCCCGGGACATTGAGTGAGCAGCTCCAGCAGGTGGAGAGGGCAGTGGCCGGGTACACGGACCCCTGCTCGGGGGGCTCCCTCTCCCTGTGGCAGGCTGTGGAGAAAGGGCTCATGCCCCAGAGCGAGGGCTTCCCCCTCCTGCAGGCACAGCTGGCCACAGGGGGTGCAGTGGACCCCGTCCACGGGGTGCACCTGCCCGAGGCGGCAGCCTGCAGACTTGGCCTCCTGGATGAGCAGACGAGCAGGGTGCTGACCTCACCAGATGAGGACAACAAGTTCTTCTTTGACCCCAGCACGCGGGACAAGGTGACATACGGGCAACTCAAGGAGCGCTGTGTTTCAGATGCCAACACCGGCCTGTGGCTGCTGCCGCTCCCTGAGGACACGGCACTAGAGTGGGACAAGCACACGGCGGTGGCCCTGAGGGCCATGAAGGTGCCTGTCAGCACAGGGAGGTTCAGAGGCCTCAGCATGTCACTCTGGGACCTGCTACACTCAGAGTATGTTAGTGTCCACAGGCGGCGGGAGTTGGCAGCACTCTGCCAGTCTGGGAGGGCCACAGCACTGCGGCAAGTGGTCAGCGCAGTCACTGCCCTGGTGGAGGCCTCAGAGCGGCAGCCCTTGCGGGCCGCCTTCAGAGGGCTCCGGAAACAGGTGTCGGCCAGGGACCTGTTCAGGTCCCAGCTGATTGACAAAAAGACGTTGCATGACCTGAATGAGGGGAGGAAGACGGTGCAGGAGGTGATGGAGATGGACAGCGTGAAGCCGTTCTTGGAAGGAGGCAACTTCATAGCCGGGGTCCTTCTCCAGGACACAAAGGAGAGGATGAGCATCGCAGAGGCCCTGAGGAGACACGTCCTGCGGCCCGGCACAGCCCTGGTGCTGCTGGAGGCACAGGCGGCCACCGGCTTCCTCATCGACCCCTTGGAGAACCGGAAGCTGACTGTGCAGGAGGCATTCAAGGCTGGGATGTTCGGCAAGGAAACCTACCAGAAGCTGCTGTCGGCTGAGCGCGCCGTCACTGGCTACACCGATCCCTACACTGGGGAGCAGATCTCCCTGTTCCAGGCCATGAAGAAGGGCCTGATCGTCAGGGAGCACGGCATCCGCCTACTGGAGGCCCAGATCGCCACGGGTGGCATCATCGACCCGGTGCACAGCCACCGCGTGCCCGTGGACGTGGCCTTCCAGCGTGGCTACTTTGACGAGGAGATGAGCCGCATCCTGGAGGACCCCAGCGACGACACCAAGGGCTTCTTCGACCCGAACACGCACGAGAACCTCACCTACATGCAGCTGCTGGAGCGCTGCGTGCGCGACCCCGACACGGGGCTCTACTTGCTGCAAGTCGTAAAGAAAGGAGAGGCATACGTGTATATTGATGAAGCCACGAAGCAAGTTCTGCAATCCAAAACAACCACAATGCATGTGGGGCGGTTTGCCAATCAGATGGTCTCCTTCTGGGACCTGTTGACCTCTCAGTACTTCACTGAGGACAGGAAGAGAGAGCTTGTCCAGGCATACAGAGCCCAGAACGTGAGCCTGGAGCAGTTGCTGGAGATCATCGTCACGACGGTCAAAGAAACAGAAAAGCAAAACCAGGTGATCAAGGTGGCAGCCATTGGTGGGGAGGTGACAGCTGCAGAGTTATTCAACTCAGGAATCATCGATAAAAAGACCCTGGATACTCTGCACCCACGGGACAGTGCAGGGCAGGCCCTCCGCAACCTGGAGCCTGTAAAGGCCTACCTGGATGGCAGGGGCTGCATTGCCGGTGTGACCACACCATCTACCCAGGAGGTCCTGAGCATGTACGAGGCCGGCAGGAAAGGACTCGTGCCAGCAGCGTTCGTGGCTCACCTACTAGAGGCGCAGGCAGCCACAGGGTTCATGCTGGACCCTCACAGCCACCAGAGGCTCTCTGTGGATGAGGCTGTGGCTGCTGGCCTGGTGGGCGAAGACCTGCAGGAAAGGCTCCTGATCGCCGAGAAGGCTGCCAGAGGCTATGTGGACCCAGTGACAGGACACACGATCTCCCTTTTCCAGGCCATGAGGAGAAAGCTGGTGGCACAGGAGTGGGCGCTCAGGCTGCTGGAGGTGCAGGTGGCCACGGGAGGCGTCGTGGACCCGCTGCACCACCACCGGCTTCCACTTGACACCGCCTACAGACGAGGCTGTCTGCACCCAGACACCTACCCGCTCGTTGCAGACCCAAAGTGCATGAATAAAAGATATGTGGACCCCAACACACAGGAAAAGGTGACGTACCAGGAGCTGCAGGAGAGGAGCCAGCAGGAAGAGGCAACGGGCTGGGCCCTGTTCCCTGTACTTCTTAGTGGACAGCAATGCACATATATTGACAACGCCACCATCAGAGCTCTCCAGGCCCAGCAGGTAGAGGTGACTGTGGGGAGGTTTAAGGGCCAGAGACCATCAGTCTGGGAATTGCTGAATTCAGAATATGTGACAGAGGAGAAGAAGCGTGAGTTAGTTGTAAAGTACAAAAGAGACACAACACATGCACTAAAAGCGGTAGTGACTATTATCTTCGAAATAATTCATGAGACAGAAAAGAATAGAAAACAGCTCTGGTTCACAGGGATCAGGAGACAAATCACGGCCGCCGAGCTCTGCGCTGCAGGCGTCCTCAGTGAGGCAACGCTAGGGGCATTAGAGGAAGGGAGGACCACTGTGGACAATGTGACACAGGACGAAGGAGTCAGGCGCTACCTGGAAGG